CCATACAAATAAGAGTGCTAAACTGTGGACTTAAAAGTAGGTGTGTAAATATTTTTAATCAGTATTACTTAGAAAATAAAATATAACAACTACATAAAATAAACCAATATGCTATTTTCTTTACCTGTAAATATTGGGAGATATTTGTATTTTTAAAGTAAACTTTAAAATTAAAAAAATAAAGATAGGTAGTTAGTGTAGTTAAATTGGGTCTAATATTCAGTATAAGTGGAAGAGCATGGGAAGAAGATTACCTCTACAAAGGAAAGAAGGGTGGGAGGAAAAGGGAGGGAGAAAGGGAATTGCATGGATGGTGGAAGGAGACCCTCACTGTTATACAAAATATATGTATGAAGATGTGAGAAAAAAAAGAATAGCATTACTCTAGGTAGAGAGAAGTGATGGGAGGGGAAGGGAGGGATTGGGGAGATAGGAAGGACAGCAGAATGAAGCAGACATTATTAATACTGTGTGTGTATATATGTGACTGCATGACCAATGTGATTCTGCAACCTGTATACTCAGAAAAATGAGAAATTATATCCCATGTGATTCATGTGTGTAGGATATGTCAAGATCACTGTACTATCATGTGTAACTAAGTAAAACAAATAAAAATAATAATTAAAAAAAGAAGAAGAAAATGGAGACCTTATAAAGAATGAAGTCCATAAAGGTGAAGTTGGATCTGAGCCCCTGAAACCAGACAAACACCTGGGAAAATTCAAATGTTAATGTCCCCAAGGCCCCAGACCCATCCTAAAAAAAACTTAATGAAGTAGCTTCCTCCAAACAGGGAGGTGCTAGTCAAACCACCCCAGGCCCCTCTCACCCATATTACTCCTCCCCAACGCATTGCTCCACCTATCTCTCCCCTTTTGGCCATCCCACCTGCATTCTATCACTGCAGAATAGAGGGAACAAAGGACAGAAATGGGGGGAGGTGTAAAAGAAGACTTAGATATAAAAAAAGGGAGGACTTCTCCTTTCCAAGAATACGGCCTTTCGGGTCAGGTCCTCTTCTTCCTGGGGAGGGGCGGGGGGCGCATCTTTTCTGCTCTCCTTTAATAAAGCTTTCCACTTTTCACTCTACACTTTCCTCCCTGTGTTTCTCTGGTGTTATACTTCAGCATTCAGGGAAGCACGGACACCAGTAAGCAGCAGTAAGGACATCATATGTGCTAGCACTGTTTTCTCCAAGTTTCCTAGGACTGATTTTTCTGATTTTCTTGAGCATTTTGGATTCTGGTTTTCTCCACTTGTAGAATGTTTTGGCCATTGGTTCCTGTCGCAAATGGGCAAAATTGCAATTTATACAATCGAGGGGAGAAATGAAGAATGTCCACACGTTTCTGCCCTTTTCAATTCTTTATTCACTCAAATTACTCAATACAGTTTCACTCTATAGATTCTTAAACAAAAAAAAAATGACAATCCTTAATGCTAGGCACTGCAATAGACATAATAAATTCCCAGCAAACAATTATAGATTAATTCTAAGCACTGAAAAACACTGCACTGCAAAACACACTTAATCATGACAGGCTAATGACAGGTATTCCCTCTGTGTGCTAAGTTCAAATGTCAGGTCAAATGTCTTAAAGCCTTAGACTTTATGTCCAGCAGATACACACTCACTTAGACCAGGTGATCAGGTCTGGAACCAAGGCAGGCTTTTCATAGCATGGAGTGGACGAATGTAAAACCTCAATGCAAAGAAAAGACTACTGACTCCAATTAAAATCAAATTAAAGCAAGCTTGTAATTCCAACCAGCCAGGGCTGTCTCTCCTAAAAACCAAAAACTTCGGGAACAGAGGACAGCCCCACAGCTCTCTCTAGGAGCACAGCTTTATAGCAGAAAAAGTTACAAAAAGGAAGGGGGAGTCTTGAGAACTTACAGATAACAAAATTTTGACAAGTATAACACAAAGGCTGGTTAATGGTCTACCGTAAGCACTTAGGGAGTAAATTAGATTTCAACATCAGGATTTATGAGGCACCATTAGAGTTTCAGAGAGGGTTGTTATCTGGCCAGGGGGAGTCAGAATTTATGAGAGCCACTAAAGCTTCAGAGAAGGTTGCTCTCTGGTCAGGGAAAGCCAGGCATTGGTGAGTTCAAGGCATGGGCAGGCATTCCAAACAAGTTTAAAAATCACAGTAATTTATGGTAAAGATGAAATTAAATTTTTATTCCTCCGTGTCGAGATGGCTTCCTATCTTAAGAGGGAATTAGGCTGGGTTTATCACGACCAGTTGAGGAGAGGGTCAACGAGAGAAGTTGCAGCTCTCACAAAGGTCCAGATGAGGCAGTAGAGTTTGAGAGCAGTGAGGATCACACAGAGAATCTGGAGTGATGACAAGTGATGGGATGTCAGGTCCTCATCAGGCTCCCCAACTCAAGTGCATCCTTGTTTTGACTGGCTGGATCCCTGCGCAGGCGCTCTGTTATTTATACTAAATTTGGGGGCTTTTGACTCCTCCCTTCAATCCTTATCAGCTATCACTGGATTTCTCCGTGACATTCTTTTCCCTGGGGTCAGAAACAGGTGGTCTCCACTCTGATCTTCTCCCCTTTCCCTCTTATCAGGTGAGCTCAGCCTGCCAGAGTCTTCACTTTGTTTATCAGGGTGAGGGGAAATAATTTGTTTGAGGCCATACTGGAGGGCTCTGTGAGTGTCCCTGGTGAGACTGCAGTTTGCAAAATGGAGTTTTAAAAATGGAGTTGCTTAGGCTCAGGCCTAAGGCCATCCTCACAGTCTGGCACCACTGAATCCCCTAAGTAGGAGGAAGAGGCCCCTGCTCTTCTCACTGAGGCTTCAGAGCTTGTACAGAAGAAGCCCATGTCTCTAGCACCACAAAAGAGAAGTACTGAGGTTCACCACACTGGCCCTGCAGAGGGCCTGACCATTGAGGATGTGACAGTGAGAAAGAGAAAGAGTATATCTGTGAGGAATACTGAGCAAAAGAACCTCAAATATCAGATTCCTCATGGAAAAGTTCCCTGCATTTTAAATTAGTGTATCTATTCTTGTGAAATCTAGACACTTTTTTTTGGCAGGCATACATGGATTAAAGGAATGAAGGAATGGTCATCTTTTGATGTTAAAATTGGTGTTGTGTTTTTTTATATACTCAATTATCAAGTTCACATGAGTTATGAGTAGGATTCAGGATTCAATACCCATGGATGATGGAGGACCTTTAGTCATGCAGGAGGTTTGGGTGGAGTGAGTCCAGAAGGAGGCATCTAAGATGATCTCAGCTTCTATAAGAAGCTGGAATGGATTTTGGATACCTGGATTTTTTTTTTTTTTTGCTGTTTCTGAAGACAGTGAGTGGGTCTCAGGGAACCCAGGTCAGTCCCCTGGCACCTGCTTAGTTGTAGAGGAGGATGACCTCCTCAGGGGCGTTTGCTATGGTGCCCTAATGGCTTCTTTCAAGATGATTGGGAAAGAAGATTCAGGCTATGTCCCTGGGTCTGGCCTAGGCAGCACCTGACACTGAATACAAAGGGGACTCTGGGGTTTCAGAGGGGAAGCCTTGGAGCAGGGGACAGAGGAAGGAGAGATCGTTGGTGAAGGGCAGGTATGATGGGGGGCTGCTGTAGCAGAATAGAGAATCCTGAAGACACTGTTGAGAAGGAACTAGAGGAGGGATGGACAGATTTTCCTCTCTTCTAAACCTCACAGTAGCGCAGGCAGTCAAGGACATTTACTCCAACTGGAATCCTCCCAAGGACACCACTGGGAACTCTCGCATGTTCATTTCTATCCCAGTGGAGACGAGTCCTAGAGAACTGGGATGGTGACCCAAAACCTCTCTACTCTGTACATGGAGACATGTATGCCTATTTTTCTCTGAGAATTTCACATGCTCTCCTCTCTAGTGGTAACTTTCATCCTGCAGAGAAAGTTTGTTGGGGGTTGAGGACTGAAGTCACCAGTGTCAGTTTCACTGTTGGATCCAGGACACTTGTAGTCAGGAGAATGAGAGATTAAATTGCAATTCTTTGCTTTAGGACATTCTTGAAAACTGATTTTTTTAGATAAAAAACTGGATTCACTGAAGAACTAGTTCTTACCTGAACAAACCCAGCCACCTTATCAAATAGAGGTTTACTAATCAATACCCACAGCAAAATCCCCTGCATAGCAACCCTCCCCATTACAACACTGGCCACATGAATACTCATCAAAACTCTTCTTGACAGATATGCCTTGAAACTCCCCAGGACACATTTTTCAACACTAGAACCATCCTCTGTTCTTCCCCTAGTTAACCATAAATAAGACCCTGCCACAGTGAAATTCTCCTTAATTCTAACATGCAGTTTTGTATGACTGATGACTTCCTGTGGCCTTTGGGATTGGCAGATCAAGTTGATAAGAATGTTTTGATCAGGTTCCAATGGAGTCAACTAATCTTGGAAAGGTACAGGAGCCTTCCCCTCATCTCTTAGGAATATCTAGACAGAGATGGGAGGAGATTTCCTCCACAGCATGTGGCATGCTCTCTGCTGTCAGGGTATCCAGGGCAGGAAGTGGCCTTTGGTGTCAGGCTGGTGGCAGGTTTTTGTCTCACTTCCCTGTCTGCCTGTGTCACTGTGAACAGCACTACCATCCCACACTTGACAGTAATAGTCAGCCTCGTCTCCAGCCTGGGCCCCACTGATGGCCAAGGTGGCTGTGTTTCCAGAGTTGGAGCCAGAGAATCGGTCAGGGATCCCTGAGGGCCGGTAGCTATCACCATAGATGATGAGCAGGGGGGACTGTGCTGGCTTCTGCTGGTACCAGTACACATTTTTACTACCAATGTTGTTTCCTCCACAGGTGATTCTGGCCGTCTGTCCTGGGGTCACTGATACTGAGGATGGCTGAGTCAGTACATAAGAGGCTACAGAACCTATAAGGAAATAAAAGAAGACAGAGGATTAATGGTGACAGACATTCCCATGAGATTCCCAATTTTCCCCCTGGACTGAAAGAACTTCAGAAAATATGTGGAACAAAGTGCATCCTCTGGCATCAAAATCAATCATAGTGGCCCATGAGCCTGACTGGGGAATGGAGATTTGAATCCATGAGCAAGCCCAACCCCTTTCCTCAAAGCCAGAGAGTACAGGGTTGGAATTTCAGCCTAAAGTCTCATCCATCCTGAAGCAGGTCCTGACCATCCTGCCCACCACAGACAGAGCTCTGCTGAGCTCAAAATTAAGGCCAGGTTAGTTATACAGGAGCCTTGGGCTGGGGTGTATGTTGGGTCCTGGGGGCAGCACCTGTGTAATGAGCCAGGAGGCTGATGAGAAGGGCCTTCCAAGTCATGGTGCCTCTGGCTGCTTCTTGAGTCCCAGGCTGGTCTGTGTTCCCTCAAGGCCTCTTTATTCCCTTTTTGGGGACAGCTGACTGTTATGCAAATCAGCCCAGGTCAGGGCTGCTACTGGAGGAAGCTGTGTGGTGTCCAGAGAAGGGCTCATCCCCAGGGAGCCAAAGAGTGGGAGGGGCATCCCTGAAGAACTACCCTCAGCTCACAGAATGCTCCTTTACTTTCTGGTCCCAACTTCTTAATCATGTCTCCATCCCAGGCTATTTTCTAGCCAAGAATCTGGGCTGACCTTATTATATAATTATGAGTCTGTCTTTGTCATCAGAACAAACTACGAAGGTTGACAATAAGAGGTTTCATCAGCTATGGGATTCTGTCCCAGATACAGCTCCTAAGGCTGTGTGGGTCAGTCAATTCTTCCATAAGTGTACCTGGTATCTTAAAGTTCCAGTGAGGTATAATATCTCTCTGTCCTTCATGTGAAGGCCTCAAGCAGATCTTGGGTTCTCTGGTTCACATGTCCTAATGACTGTAGGCAGGTTCTCCACCTACCCTACAATACTAACAGTTACAGAACTTCAGCATGAATGGTGGCCTGAGGAATACTAGACCTCTGTCATATCAACAGGGACATTCTACAAAGAGAAGAGCCTTCTGGGAGACACAGACATCAATGAACATGTACATCAATGTTATTCCCCATACTGAAGAAAAATCCAGCATTTTCTCCAGGTCTCATGTCATGGTCACTAATCCTCCTGTATGTGAAATCTCCCTTCTAGGGTGAGGTATGGTGTTTGGGGAATGTGTGACAGGTCCAGAGTTTAGCTTAATGAAATGAGCTGGATGAGGGAAGGAGATATCAGTAAAAGTAGTAAGATTTCCTGTGCAAACACGTAACAAATAGGAAAATTCTAGAAGAGCTACATATGAGAGAAATGAAGACCAAAAAAATTGTACTTGTTTCAAATATGATACTGTAGAAATATGACACCTTTTCCTCTAGACCTCAGGTTGTAGTTACTACTCACCCTCTTACAATTTTGAATCCTGAAGCCCAGGCCCAGCCCATGCCTAAGGGGCTTTTTCAAGTGGTTCTCAACTGCCCCCTAGTGGCCACTCTACACTGATTGCTGCATGTCAGGGCATCCTTTGTCCAGGTGCAAATTTAGAACCTGCCCCTCAGGCCCAGGTTTTCTTGATCTTTAGCCAAGGGAGGAAATTTGTCTTCTTCCTATGAATGTTACCGGTCTTAGGATCAGGAAGTAGAGGCTCACATTACACAGGAAAATATGAACAGGTGCATTTGGTAGAGAAAGGTTAAAACACACCTGAGCTAACACTGCAAGTTTTTTTAAGGTGGTGAGTGAGTGGTCATGGAAGTGGTTCCTGTTCCTGGTGCTGAGTAACACTGGACTCAGGAACTGGCTCTTGTTAGTGTCAGATGCACGTGCAGAGTCAATGTGAGTGAGTGGTGAGAAGCACAGGCACAGACAGGAGCCCATTCACACCAATGCCTATTCAGACCCACTGTGGTCTCCACCTGCTTCCATGCTGGGAATTCAGCAGGAACATGATGCATCCTTTGCTCTAGAAGTTTCCATCTTCTGGTTGAGGCTTTGCTTTGGACACACCCAGTGTGCAGTTTAATAATCTGTTCCACCCACCAGAGCCTGTGCTTAGTCTCCTCTCTTTCTTGAGGAGACACTTTTTCCACGATAAGCAGCCAGCATTGACCATGTAGTACAACACACAACCATAGCATGGAACACTCAGTTGACCAGAGGCAAGCCTGTACTTGTGAGGGAGAGAAATATGTAGGTCTTTGCATCATTTTGCTCCTGAAATTCAGGTGTGATAGCTGGAGCCCGCAAGATCCATCTTAGGGTCTTTAGTCAACAACAAAAATTGAAGGCTAAGATGGTACGGATGGTGGAACAGAAGCTGAAAAAGGCCCCAGGTCCCACAGTGAAAAGGTGAGTAAGGGAGCTAGAAAACATCATGCCCTAGTTGTTTGGTTTTGTTTTGTATTGTTTTTTTTTTTCATAAGGTAAGTATTTATTTATAAGTGCTTTGCTTTTGCAAGAGAAAAAAAAATTAGCCTCCATGTGCTCATAAATCTGTTTTAGTGCATGTTTTCTTGCATTTAAAAAATATCTACAACCCACTAGGAAAATAATTAACAAAAATAAATCAATTAACTAGAACAATGCTGGTGAAAAAAAGATTCAGCAATAATGATATGCAGATAATTAATACACCGATTAGAGAGTTACAGTCAGGCTGGGATATAACCTGAGGCTGGGACTCCCATGCAGATGTGTCACTGGAGCTGCCTTCAGGACTGATGAGAAATCACAGCACATTGTGGGGACAGCAGAATTCATGAAGTGGGGGAAGAGTCTGCGTGTGTGATGATGGGAGAAGAAAGTGGCAATGTGAGGGGACCAGGACTGCAACCTGTTTAGTCCAAGATACTATTATCTCCTAAGGAGGATTTTGATGTCAGGGCAAATGCACAGTCAGAATTGTTGATGGTAAAATTTCCAAGTAATAAACTCAGTTCCATGGCATCTTTGTTGCATATTATGAATCTCAAGTCCAGGGAGAGATGAGACACAGTGGGTTCCTCTAATCACTGCCCTGCTTATATGGCACTTGATATACCCAGAGGGTGGTTGCTGGTTCCTTCCCTCCACCCTGTACCTACCATGTAGCCAGGTGGGAACTTAGGCTACAGTCTGTGTCTCCTGACCTGGGACAGGTGTTGAGTGCCTTCTAGTGTCTGGTGAGTGACACAGCAATATTTTCCTTGACAAGCCACAGATTCCCTAACCTGGAAGCATGGAATATTGAGGGTATACTTCATAGGGAGGGGAAAAAATGGGGCTGAGAAAGAGAGTGACAATTCCTATGTCACTCAGGGAGGAGATGAGAACAGCAAAAGCATCTAGAATCCCAACAATTACTTTCCCTGGATATACAAGGGTCATCCTGGGAAAATCCCCCTCATTTTCTCAACCTGGGATTTCTCCAGCTAGATTCTGGTCTCTTTCAATGAGAATATCTCCTTGGTGCTTGGAAATATCTTCAGTAAAAATATTAGGATCCTGAAGCTTAATCCTCTGATTAACCGGATGCATGTAGGGGCTGCTACTACCCCTCACACGGGTCTGGCAGATTATTGGAAGTGTTTCCAGGTCCCTGCACCATTCCCAAAGACCAAATATCCAGATTAGAAGCAACTAGAGCAGTCATTTCATGGATATTTACCCAAACATTTCCCTGAATTATCACTTAGGCCCCATGTATTACTATACAAAATGTCATCTATTGTCAACTCAGGGTCTATTAACATAAAAGGTAAATTTAATAATCTGTAGTAGTTTGTGCAGTAAATTATTTATAGTTTTTTTTTCCTGTGGGGTCCAATACTTCTACAAATTAGACATCAGTCCATACACAAGTCTGGAATGTGTATATAGAAACTTTTGATTTTGCTTTTTTAAAATGTCCGTAATGGCATATCTATGTGATCTGAAAGACCTGGAGTAAACTTTTAAAACCATTTGTCCTAAATGTATGAAGAATCCAGGCTGGATATAATATTATTAGGGGTTTCAGAAGACATTTTCATATAGAGGACAACTCTAAATATGGCTTTGCAAATCCCATGGTTATATACCTGTTCTACCTTCTGAGTGCTCTCTCTCTCTCTCTCTCTCTCTCTCTCTCTCTCCTCTTCTCATTCACTCTGTCTCCACATACACAGCCTTATTTTGTATGTTATTTGGAGACAAGGTCTCACTGAGTTGCTTAGCACCTCTCTTTTGCTGAGGCCAGCTTTGAAATTGTGATCCTCCTGCCTCAGCCTCCCTAGCCACTGAGATTATAGGCATGTGCCACCACAACCAGCTAGATTCTGAACTCTTTCAATGATTTGTCTTTTCATAAAATTGTCATTCCAATCCAGAATTTATCTCTTTAATAAATGAGATGTGCCTGTTTTGTGCTGCTCAGTATTTAATTTTGATCAGAATTGGGAGGCTTCTGAGCATATCTCCTTGGTGGTGGGAATGAGGGGGATTTGTCCTTGATCAAATCTAAGAGACATGGGAGCACTGCCTAATGGCATGGGCTATTGGGTGATCTTGTAACACCAACTTCTTTTCTGGGCACATCAGCCCTTCTCATCCTGAGGACTCCATATTTTGGGGCTCATAATTATTTGTCTTAACCCAATGCCAAGTTCTGAGAGGAGGGTCAGAAACCATGTCTCCCTTCTGACACACTCCACAGTGAAATGGAGGGAAGAGAGCCCTTCCATCCAGGAATCTGTGAACTAGTTTCTGCAAAGCATTTTTTTGGAAGTGACAAGACTCTGCATATAAGATCCAACTAATTCCTTGGGAAAACCACATTTCTAATAGACATCTGTACTGTTCTGTAACTTGGCTATAGTGAGAAACCAGCTGAGTGAGTGGAGACCAAAGTCATGTTCATTGTTCAAAGGATGAGTGAGACTCAGCTCTGGGTGAGGAAGAGCCTGCCCCATGTGTGTATCTGTGTTATTGTAAGCCAGTTTGAGTGGCACTCACTGCCATGTGCTATGGCATAGAAATAGTCATGCTTGTCCCCAGCCTGGCTCCACTGATGGTCAGATTAGCTGTTTCCCAAATTGAAGCTATAGGATTGGTCACAGTTGTGTGGGGGCCATAGGCTGTCATCATAGATGAGCAGCACAGGGGCCAGCCTGGTTTTTGTTGGTAACAATGTGCATATTTATTCCCTAATTTACCTTCAGAGTGTATGGTTCTACCTTTCTACCTAGATGTCCATAATGCTGAGTGGTTGATAGCTGAGTCAGCTCTTAGGAGGTTATAAAGACTGCCAGAGGTAAAAAGAAGTGGAAATAATGATAAAGGAATCTTCCAAAAGTTCCTCTGTCTGCCTGGTCTGTTCTCTCTCTAGGGAATCTTTGGGTCCTCACCCCACCCACTTTAATCTTAGTTCC